GTCATGATCTCGGGGTTCGTGGGTTTGAGCCCCGCATCAGGCTCTGTGCTGACTGCCAGCTCAGAGCCTGGAGCCTATTTCAGAGTCTGTGTCTCCCTCTCTCTCTGACCCTCCCCTGCTCACGCTGTCTCTCTCTCTCTCTCTCTCCTAGAAGTAAATAAAACATTAAAAAAAAAAAACAAAAAAAAAAACAGGCTCCAGTCTCTGAGCTGTCATCACAGAGCCCATCGAGGGGCTCAAACTCGGGAATGGTGAGATCATGACCTAGGTGGCAGTGGGGAGCTTAACTGACTGAGCCACTCTGGTGCCCTGAGGAATGTAACTGAACAAAGCAAGTGGCGGAAAATTCAGTGTAACTTCATTTTGATGAAGATCAAAAACAATCAAAATGAAATATATGTTTTTTAAGGATACAGTGTGTGGTTGAAAAAGAAGAAATGTAAGGATAGGGGAATATTTTGCATAATGTAGCCAGGGGGTGGGGGCGGGGGGAGGCTGGCAGAGGGGTTGGTGAGAGCATCCACGGCCTGCGAGGTGCTGGTTCTCTTTTTCCTTGAGCTGGGGGAGGACACAGAAGGAGTTTTTAAAACAATTGTTGCTCTTCATATCCTGCACAGAGAATATAAGCAATTTTGTGTATATCTAATAGTCCATATTAAAACAAGAAAAAGGGGCACGTGGGCTGCTAAGTCGGTTAAGTATCCTGACGTCAGCTCAGGTCATGATCTCATCATTTGAGAGTTCAAGTCCTGGGTAGGGTCTGCACTGACAGTGTGGAGCCTGCTTCAGATTCTCTATCTCTCCCTCCCCTACTCCTCTCTCTCTTTCAAAATAAATAAATAAAATAAAAAATAAAAAATCTACTTGGTCCTGATAACCCTTTTGTATATTTGCTTTCTGTTATTATTAATTTTGTATATGGCATACTAATGTTTACTTTGATTTTGTATGTATATATATTTTTAAGTTTATTTATTTTATTTTTGAGAGAGAGAGCAAGCAGGGGAGGGGCAGAGAGAGAGGGAGAGAGAGAATCCCAAACAGGTTCTATGCTGTCAGAGCAGAGCCCAATGAGGGGCTCAAACTCATGGACTGTGAGATCATGACCTGAGCCGAAACCAAGAGTCAGACACTCAACTGACACAGCCACCCAGGCAGCCCTTGTGTGTGTATTTCTAAGTGAAATTGGTCTGTAGATTTCTTGCCTGGTTTTGGTATGAAGCTATGAAAGTAGCCTCATAAACTGGGTTAGGAAGTATTCTTGTTTTAAAACTTTTTATTCTGTGGAGGAGTTTGTTGAGGATTATCTTTAATTTGAAGGTTTGTTAAATCTCGCCCATAAAGACATCAGAGCCTGGTACTGGTTTTTGTTGTTGTTGTTGTTGTTGTTGTTTTTTAATTTTTTTTAAAAATGTTTTTTATTTATTTCTAGGAGAGAGAGAGACAGTGTGAGCAGGGGAGGGTCAGAGAGAGAGGGAGTCACAGACTGAAACAGGCTCCAGGCTCTGAGCTGGCAGTCAGCACAGAGCCCGACGCGGGGCTCGAACCCACGAACCGCGAGATCATGACCCAAGCGAAAGTCGGACGCTTAACCGACTAAGCCACCCAGGCACCCCTGTTGTTGTTGTTTTTGATGGAGGGAAATTAATGACTCACACTTAAAATTTTTAATGGTTATTGATCTATTCATCTTATGCCTTTGTTCTGAGGTGAGGTTTGGTGATTACACTTACTTAGATAATTGTCCATTTAATCTATATGTGAAAATACATTGGCATAGCTTTTGTGGTGGTCTCCGATAAATTTTACAATCTCTCTTGTATCTCCCCGATAAATCCTTAAAGATTTTTATCAATATATCAGTTGATCCTTTTTCTCTGTCTCTCTCTGTCCTGTCTTCCTCTCTGAACAGTATGGTTTAGTGGGAACTATACAAGGTAGAAGGAAACTTGCAGAAAAGATTCTCTCCTCGTCCAGACCTTAGTCAGTCTCTCTGAGCCATTTGCTTAAGGAAGCCTGACCTTGGCCTTTGGGTCCAGTTTTAACCAGAAACCTGTGAAATCAGTTAAGCCAGAATCCCCCACCCCTGATATTTGAGCACCCTCAGAAAATGATCTGACCCATTTCTCTACCACTACCACCCCCTCCCCGTCGCCCCTGCATCTGTTAGGTATGTGATCACTCCCGGCCTGTCTTCAGTCAGAACCCTGTTAGGTCTTGGCAAGAATTACTCTACTTTCTTGGTAATTTCCCACCCACTGACTGCCCCACCCTGCTCCTTGCTTATAAATCACCACTCTTGTGAATTTGGAGTTGAGTTTAATCTGTCTCCCCTACTGCAAACCCACCATAGCAGTCAGCGTCAATAAAGTGTGTCTCACCTGCAATGAGTGTCAGAACAGGTTTTCATTAACATATGAAAATGAGTAATTACAATATAGTTAATGAGGCCCGGAGATGAAAGTACATAATAAGGTCTGTGAGGGTTACAAGGGAATCAGTTGGAGGCTTGTAAAGTTTCAAGAATTTGGAAAATAATTAAGACAAGTGGCGAGATGGTGTTTAGAACAAAACAAGACTAGGGAAATAACATGTGGGGGAGACTGAGAGAAATTAGCCCACCTTTATGGGCAGGGCAAGGAAAGACCCATAAAACAAGTGTCTACAAGAGCTTAGCTGTCTGATGGATATTTCAGTATTTTATGTCCAAAATGAAGCTCTTGGGTTTTTTTCCCTTAATGTTTTCCCCTAAAATACTAACTCAGTTTCCCAGATCATAAAAGTATACCACATTCCCTTCTGTGTTGAACAAGCCAAAAGCTTGATAGGAGCTGTGAGGACCTTGCATGGTGGACACACGTGTTGGGTGTGTTTGGAGACACGCAGGGCTGGAGATGGATGCCTTCCCAGCATTCCGTGGCCTGTGGGGTTTGTCCTGGGAGTTCTGATGGCTGGACTCGGGAAACCTGTCAGTGCATAGTTTCAAGGAGAGCTGAGTCTGTAAAAAAATGTTAGAGTAATGATAATTTTCATCCAGAATGAGAGTTCTGGCTGAAGAAATACAGTGGATATTCCTCATAGTCACCAGTGGTGGGGCAAATAGTACAATTCATATACTCTTTCAGTGTTAAAATGGATTAGTTGACAGGAAAATCCAAACCTTTAAACTTTGTTTCAGGTGAGACAAGCTGAGCGTCATCGTCAGAAAGAAGGCAGCTGACGGTCCACTTCCAATGTGACTCTTTCATCCAGATGATACTTCCATGTGACCCAAGCCAGTGCGGTCCCCAGAAACCCATCGTGAATTCCATATTGTCTGACAGAACGTCTTACACGTGGACTCACAGACTCAGGTGGTACCTGTGGGTCTATGTGTTAGAAAGCTGAACTCAACAAGTTTTCTGGTTTGCTGGTCACCAGAGAAACCTGATGTTCCTTATGCCCCAGCACTGCCCTGTTCCCTTTCTCTTTCTGTCAGCACAGGGCTCCCACCGTGAGCCTGAGGGTCCCTAGTCCATGGTGGTCACGGGGCTCTGAGGACGAGCAGCCATGGACTCTGTGAGACGGAACCTGCGTGCTGGCAGGTGCTCAGTCTCGGCCTCTCCCAGATCACCCGGGACCTATGTCAGTGGTTTATATTCTTGTTCATGGTCATGTGAGGACACCTGGTGTCTGAGGGGAGAAGGGAGGATGAGACTTCCCAGTAATGAGGTGTTTGCTTCTGCCAGTTCCCTGCTGAGGGTGGGTTTTTATTTGTGTTTGCTTTCTGTTTTTTTGTTTTTGTTTTTTAGTATATTCAAGCATGAGGAACCAAAACAAAAGATAAACAGGAGAAAATGTAGTTTGGATTATTTTATTCTACTTGGGCCCATAAAGTACAGACATGCAAAAATTATCAATTGAACACAGGACACAAAGAAAACAGAAGAATGCAAGTGGGGTGACCCGACCGGTGACTCTCTGCCTCTTTAGCTGCAACGTACAGGACAGAGCTGGCCACCAGCAGGGCAGCCAGGAAGCAGCGTCCCAGGCTGTGGCTCAGGAAGGGGCTGTTGCAGGTGGGACCTCGCCCCAGTCCGTGTGCTCCGTCAGCCTTCCCACTGCCCCACCAGCTCCATCCTAACCGAGTCTGGAGACCTCCCAGCCCAGGGGAACACCATGAGAATCATGTCCCGCTGGACAGACTGCACCCCCCACTCCTCTCTGGCCTCTCGCAGAAGCTGGGACATAGCGGAACCAGGGCCCCCGGGCCCCCTTGGCCACCTTAACCACACGCATCATTCAAACGTTCATTTCTGGTGTTCACACAGTCTCAACCTGCACGCATCCCCCTCTATTACAGGTCTTTCCCTCCACCAGCTGCTGAAGCAAGAATCATGAGAGTCACTGTTGAATTTTTCTGCTCCTCCCGGGCCCACGTGGAAACTGTCACCAAAGCCACCATAGGTCCCCCACCTGTGCCAATATTCCTCATGTTTCTCTACCACCTTCTTGTCCACTCCAACCACTAGTCCACATTGTCATTTCCTACATGGACCTGGCCGGGTCTAACCACTCTTCCAAGGGGATTAGGTTCCTACTGTTGCTGTAACAAATTACCACACACTTAGTGGCTTAAAACAACACAATTTGTTAATCTTACTGTTTTTTATTTTTATTTATTTACTTAGAGAGAGAGAGAGGAAGGGGCAGAGACACAGAGAGAATCTTAGGCAGGATCCCCATTGTCAGCGCAGAGCCCAACATGGGGCTTGAACCACCAACCGGGAGATCATCACGGCCTGAGCCAAAACCAAGAGTTGGACGCTTAACTGACTGAGCTACTCAGGTTCCCCAGTCTTCATTTTTTTATTTTACTGTTAGGTTAGAAGCATGACACAGATATCTCCATAGGGACCCTCCAACATAATCTCCCTATTTAAAGACCAGCCTATTCACAACCTGAATTCCTCATTGCTATGCCCAGTCCCATGTTCACAGGCACTGGGGACCAGGGTGTGAACATCTTGGGGTGTCACACTTCTGCCTACCACACTCAGTTTCCACCGTTTCCTCTATGGGGCCTTTTGTACCTGGCAAGCACAGCCATACCACTTTAAATGAGTCTGAATAATTGGTCATACACACAACACACACACACACACACACACACACTCAGGGAATCTACAGGGTCCTGGACAGCTCTAGGCAGGCAGCAGCAGCAGCAGAACAGAGGAAACAACCCACACGATGTCTGTGGGGCAGGGGTGTGTGAGGGTGGGGAACTGTAGGGAGGCGGGAGGGCACCGTGGAGCTGGGCACTGGCACCCAGGGAGGAAGCAGGACTATGCTCAACAGAGAACCCATCTCTCTGTTGCAGCTATGCACAGAGGTTCCCTGGGCCAGGCTGCGAGTGTCTTGGCCCCAATACCTAACATGCACTAGGCTGTGGAATTTGCTGTCTGTGCCCCAAATGGGTGGGACTGGGGTTGACAGCGACATCCAAGGGAAACTTTTAATTCCAAACTCAAAAGCCTGTGCCTTGAAAATAAGAAAACACCCATGCATTCCTTATTAAACCCCCAGGGCAACACTACCCATATTTAAATTAGTAGCAAGTTGGGGCACCTGGGTGGCTCAGTTGGTTAAGCGTCTGACTTTGGCTCAGTTCATGATCTTGGGGTTCATGAGTTTGAGCCCCGCGCCGGGCTCTGTCCTGACAGCTTGGAATAGCTCGGAGCTTGGAGCCTGGAGCCTGCTTTGGATTCTGTGTCTCCCTCTCTCTCTGCCCCTCCCCAGCTCATGCTCTTTGTGTCTCTCTCTATCAAAATAAATAAACATTAAAATAAACAAATAAATAGGGTGCCTGGGTGGCTCAGTCAGTTGAGCGTCCGACTTCGGCTCAGGTCATGATCTCAGGGTTCGTGGGTTTGAGCCCCTCGTCGGGCTCTGTGCTGACAGCTCAGAACCTGGAGCCTGCTTCGGATTCTGTGTCTCCCTCTCTCTCTGCCCCTCCCCTGCTCATGCTCTGTCGGTCTCTCTTCTCTCTCAAGAATAAATAAACATTAAAAATTTTTAAATAAATAAATAAAAATAAATTAGCAGCGAGTTCAGTCATTTCCCTGGTTACTCCCGACAGGTGGACTTGCAAGCACACAGAGAGGCCGACAAGCACCTGCATTCTCTCCTTCACTCAGCAGCTGCCATGTCCTGGCAGACGGTTGATAATCAGGACAGAAAGTCTGGTTGCATAGCCTCAGACTGGTGGGGACAGAGGTAGCGATAACCACTCTGAGGACCTGGGGGTTGGAAAGCTGGGCACACAGCACTGCCCAGGCGTGATGGTGACAAAGGGCTGATGTAGGACTGGGTTGGGGAACAGAATTGAGGTGCCTTACCTGGAAGCACTAATCTCGGAAGTGACCATAGTTTGCAGGGAAAGGCTGGATTCTAAGAGGAAAACCTCTTAGGAATTGGAATTGACTCAGAGACAGGAGCTAAGTTGGCTGTGTACCACATATGTGCCCCATCATCTAACCACTCCTACCTCCAGAAATGATGGTCTCTCCTCATTTTAGAGCCCAGACTCACCTGTGCTGTCTCACTACCCAGCCTGAGACACTGGGGTCTCATTTCTGCACTGCAGGGAGGGGGAAGCCGATTTTCCCCCAGACAGCCCAGGAATGGTGTCCTGCAGAATCAGGTCAGACAAGACCTCGTTCTCCCAACAACCCGAGCCTCATCTGGTCTTTATGGTGGAGCCTGGACACCACCTGCTCCCTCAGGCCCTGAGAGATCCTGTGCTAGGAATAATGCCACTTCTCTCCTGATTCTTCTGGCTAAGAAGGTTCTTGAAATACCCAGGAGGACCTGTGTCCCACTTGGAAAACCCAGTCTGGAATGTTCCACAGAAGGCCCATCAAGGCCAATGTGCACAGATCCTAAGTGACAGGGCCTTTAGGGATATAGGCTCACAGCCATTTACCCCAGGGCCCACATGTGGTGCTGTGCCCTCTGGGCCCTGAGTGTCAGTCTACAAGGCCCCTGTCCCTGGCACCATCCCTTCTCATTGGCAATGCCGTGGGCCTGGGTTGTCTCTGGTTATGAGTCCATGTGCCACATTCTCCAAAGTGAGGTTCTTCTCTGGGCACCCTGTTTACAGTCCCAAGAACTTCACATTGAGCAAATCTAAAGAGTATCTGAGGGTTGGGGCTTGGGGCAATGACCTTGCCTTGGTCAGGAGGTGGAAATGCTCAGCAGGAGTTGAGGCCGGCGCGTGAGTGCCCTCTAGTGGATCGTTCCTGCTGCTGGAAGAGCAAACAGGGCCCTGGACAGGAGGCAGGAGGGCTCAGCTTGGACAAAGGGCACATTCAGGTTCAGAGGAGCCATATTTAATGGTGATGAACTTATGTCTGCTTGTGGCTCAGCAGCTGGAAGACTGGTTTTTGCCAAGGGCGTAACCACAAATCAGGACATCCCTGGGGTATGCGGTCCGGTTGGCTGAGGGAAATTCTGTAGCCATTGGGATGCAAAAACATGTATGACCACATCGATATGTAATGTCATTAGGCATGTCCTCTGATGTTCTGACCATCCTGAGAGGTATCTTGGCCATGAATGCAAAGTCATACTATGGATTTGGAAGAAATATTAAGAAGGAAATTATATCATAGGAGCTTCTCTCAGAATCATAGAGCTCGGCATCATTCCTTAAGGATGAATCTACACCCCTCCAAAATGGACTTAGTTGGGGACTGACTGGCCCGTGTTGGGGGTCTCATTCTCAGCACCTGTGGGCTGACTCCCTGCCCTCTAACCCTGTGCCCCTCTCTGAACCACAAGAGTTTCTGATGCTCCATCATTAAGGATAGCGTTCCTTTTAGCCTCCTCAGCATTCATCTGTCCACCTCTGCACTCTGCAGGCGGGAGACCAGCCAGACTATCCCTGCACAAGCTCAGGCCGCTGATTGGCAGGTGTTTGGGGAGAGCTGGGCGCCCCCTGGTGGCTGAGTCCCTACCACCACCAGAACCCTGAGCTCCTGGTCTCTGGCGGGGTCCAAGGACACAGCGAAATTCAGGAAACTGAATCCCTCCCAGAAAGCAAGAAAACGACACTCAGCTCTCACAGGCAGTTCCTTGGAGCTCCAGAGCACAGCTCACACTGGTTCTGCCCTGATCCCATGATGACCCGCCAAGATGTGACCAGATGGGACACACCAGTCTGGGCACCTTGGCTTGGAAGCGCTTTCCCACAAGGCTGCCCCATCCTATAAAGGAGTACTTCTCTCTAAGACAAAGAAGATTACATGAGGTGCAGAGTTTGGTCGGCTGGGGGTACCGAGAGGGCCCAGATCCCTGTGCAAGGGAGGCTGTGCTGAGGCAGTAGGAGGATGGAAGACAAGGTTTGTCAAGGTACCAGCCGGGAGAGCAGCATGCAAAGCCAGGGCACAATCCATCCTTGGCTAAGTCCCTTGTGAGAAATGGGGCAGTCCTGTCCTTGTGCCCAGTGCACACTCTGGACAGACACTACTTCAGCGACAGTGTCTTGGAGGATGGAGACGGCAGCCAGGCCAGATATCTAGGCATCCCCATCTGTACCCGATAACAGATGCTCAATAAACATGTGTGAAATGGATAAGAGAAACCACACCATAAAGCATGTCACCCCCCATGTGACACCTGGGGGTCAGAACCTGTTCCCTGTAGACACAGGGGTACTGGTATCTGCATGGGAGGAGGCCAGCAAGTACCCGAGGCTGTCCCAGAGACAAGCCTTCACTCCTCAGAGTTTCAGGAGGGAGGACAGAGACCTCCTAACAGCGAACATCTGACACCATTCACTCGCAGAAAACAGACATCCCCCACTCCATCTCTACCTTGTGAGCCACTTCACCTCTCCCTGGAGATCCTGGGCAGCCTGTGTCTTTCCTCTTCTCTCAGAGATCTGACCTGGCACAACTCTAGATCTCGACCCCAGGTGGAGTTACCACCAGGGGAAGTCAGAGCCCCACTCTGACTTCAAAGGAAGTCAGGAGGTGACTCCTCATCCCTAGGGTCTCTGATCTGTGGGGATACATGGCTATGGTCTTCTGAAGACATCTTACCACCCCCAGGAGTCCTGAGGAGTGAGAGGAACTTCCTGTGCAGGTCGGGACGGGAGAACCCAGGATCAGAATTTGCTTCCATCTCAGAGCTCAGAGGGACTGAGGCTCCCACAGATGCCTCCCCTTCCCTAACAGAGGAACCCCCTCGAGACTCCTTGGATGAGTCTCCAGGTGGAGCTATTCTAGCTCCCAAGCCCTCTGGGGAGCCTAGAGCAAAGACAGGGACACAGATGACTTGAACGCAACAGGCCCCAGTGCTGTGATGGGGGAAACAGGGCATTCTGAGGTGTCTTCTCCCCAAACCGCCAAGAGACCCTTCACGGGCCCATCCTTTGGAACTCTGGGAACACAGAGCACCACCAGAGGCAACACATCCCCCTGGATGGACACTTGGATCAGGATTCTTCTGGACAACAACTGTCCTCTCCCTGAGCTTACCTTGCACTGGGATGGACTCGGGCAGCCTGAGACCCACAGGGACCAGGACCCGGGCCAACCAGCCCCTCAGCCTGGAGGTCAAAGCCCACCTCTGCCCAGGGCTCAGGGCCCACATATCCACTGGAGCCTG